AAGATTTTGGTTGTAATGTTGTGTTTGGTACTGGTGGTTGCATTTTTCAGGCACAGGGCTCGAAGAGGGTGATTGGCAGTGCTAGGCTGGGCAAAGGATTGTACACCCTTGGAGGTAAAGCATCTCATAATCATGCCTTATCCAGTGCTCTTAGGAAACCAATTTTATCTTCTGATCTCAATACCAATAAAATTATGTTATGGCACTCTAGATTAGGTTATCCTAATTTTTCTATCTTTCCAAAATGTTACCGAACTTATTCATTAATAAAGATCCATCTTTGTTTTCCCGTGAAATTTGTCAAATGGCCAAACACACCAGAAAACCATATATTCCAGCCAAATTTGAACCAACACCTTTTTCCATCATCTATAGTGACATTTGGGGCCCTTCTCCTGTCTAAAGTATTTCTGGGTATAAGTGGTTTGTGTCTTTTATAGATGATTACTCTAGGACAACATGGGTTTTCTTAATGAGAGAAAAATCTGAGGTTCAGTCTCTCTTTAAAAGTTTTTATCAAAAAGTTGAAACCCAATTTGACACAAAAATCAAAATTATAAGGAGTGACAATGGGAGTGAGTATTTGAATAAAATCCTTGGGTATTTCTTCAAGGAAAAAGGCATTGTTCACCTTACTTCTTGTGTCAACACACCTCAACAAAACGGGGTAGCATAAAGGAAAAATAGACATCTTCTAGAGGTTACTAGGTCTCTTATGTTTGCTGTTAATGCTCCTAAGTATCTTTGGGGGGAAGCTCTTCTTACAGCCACTTACCTCATCAATAGAATGTCAAGTAAGACCTTAGATTTTAAAATTCCTACTAAGGTTCTGTTTCAGCTGTATCCCTATTTTAAACATTTAAACTCAAGTCTTTCTCCTCGAGTGTTTGGGTGTACAACCTTTGTTCATATCCACAACAGAGGGAAATTAGATCCTAGGTCCATAAATGTGTGTTCTTGGGCTATTCTTCGAGTCAGAAGGGTTACAAGTGTTACTCACCTTCCACAAAAAAGACCTATGTCTCCTTTGATGTTACATTTTTTGAAAACCAACCTTATTTTTCAGGAATAGAAATTCAGGGGGAGAGTTACAAGGAATTTCAGCCTGTTCAAACCGATATTTCTTTACAGCCTATTAGTTACAAGGAATTTCAACCTGTTCAAACCGATATTTCTTTACAGCCTATCCTTCCTTACCTATTACTGTCTCTCCAAAGACGGCTAGCACTGTCCCAGTTCCTAGGGAGGGTGATGGGAATAACCTAAATAACTCTGATGAATTACCTTCCTCCTTATCTCAGCACTCTAGTCCGTGCAAAACACCTTCCACCACTACAAAAAATGCACCTAACAATGACCCTGAAACCATAACTCCCCAACCGAAACAACTCAGTGTTTACTCAAGAAGAAGGAAAGATGTTGCTGAAGAAATCAGTCAGCCTAGCATTTGTCAAGAACCAGATTCGGATCCTGTTGTAGCTGAAACAAAAGGTAATGATGGTTACCAAGAGGCTACTACTGTTGATCTTGATGACTTTCCTATTGCTATTAGGAAGGGGTAAGAAAATGCACTGCTCATCCCATAAATATGTATGTTGCAAATGGGAAATTACAGTATAATTTCAGGGCCTTCACTGCCAGCATTAACACTGAAAATCCCAAGAAATGTGACAGAAGCATTTCAATATCCTGAGTGGAAAAAGGCTGTGGAAGAAGAGATAAAAGCGTTGCAAAAGAATAAGACATGGAGTTTGACAGATTTGCCAAAAGGGAAGAGAGATGTTAGATGCAGGTGGATATTCACAGTCAATATCATTCGGATGGGAGTGTAGAAAGATACAAGGCAAGGTTGGTTGCTAAAGGTTTTTCTCAGTCCTATGGCATCGACTACCATGAGACTTTTGCACCGGTTGCAAAATTGAATACCATCAGAATATTGTTATCAGTAGCTGTTAACATGGACTAGAAATTGCATCAGCTGGAAATAAAGAATGCTTTTCTGAATGGAAGCCTTGAAGAAGAGGTATACATAGAGGTCCCCCCCGGATTAGAAGGAAATGTCACTAAGAAAACTGTGTGCAAGCTCAATAAATCCTTATATGGCTTAAAACAGTCTCCCAGGGCTTGGTTTGATAGATTTGCTAAGGCTACGACACAGAATGGTTTCAAACAAAGCCAAGCATATCACACATTATTCAGAAAAATTACATCGAGTGGTAAGATAACCCTCCTAATTGTCTATGTAGATGATATGATTATAACTGGCAGTGATATAGAAGAAATAGAAAAGCTAAAGATGAATCTTGCAAAAGAGTTTGAAACCAAGGATTTAGGGAGTATGAGGTATTTCCTTGGTATGGAAGTTGCAAGGTCCGAGGAAGGACTGGTCATAAACCAACGTAAGTATGTTTTGGATCTTGCAGAAACTGGGATGCTCGACTGCAAACCAGTTGAAACTCCAATGGAGCCAGACTTGAAATTTTGCAAGGAAAGGACTGGAAATCCAGTAAACAAGGAAACCTACCAAAGGTTAGTTGGGAAGTTAATCTACCTTTCACTGACCAGGCCTGATATTGCATACTCAGTGAGCATTGTCAGCCAACATATGAGTGATCCTCGAGAACATTTGGAAGCTGTTAATAGAATTTTAAGGTTCTTGAAATTTACCCCAGGAGCTGGACTTATATTTTAAAAAAATCAAGACAGAACAGTGAAGGTTTATACGGATGCAAGCTGGGGAGGTGAATTAACTGATAGAAGGTCAGTTAGTGGCTACTGTACCTACGTTTGGGGTAATTTGGTGACTTGGAGAAGTAAGAAACAAGTTGTTGTCTCTCGAAGTAGTGCTGAGTCAGAGTTTAGAGCAGTGGCTCTCGGAATATGTGAAGGAATGCAGATTAAAAGACTGCTGACAGAACTGGACTTAGATGACAAGAAGAATTTTGAGATTTTTAGTGACAGTTAATCAACTGAGTATAGCAAAAAACCCAGTGTAGCATGATAGAACGAAACACACTGAGATAGAAAGACATTTTATTTACGAGAAGGTCAACAATGGAGTTGCAAAACTGCAGTACATTCCGACGAAGAAACAGCTGGCAGATATCTTCACCAAAGCCCTTCCACAAGTGACTTTTGATGAGATGTCATTCAAACTGGGTATATACAACATATACACCAGTTTGAGGGGGAGTGTAGGAATTATAGAAATGAGTTGTCAATCCCTTAAGTTAAGAGATTCTATAATTATTTTCTGTTTTTCAATCCCTTATTTCAAGGGATTACATCTCCTAGGATTAGTTTTCTTTCTTAGAGTTTCCTAGTTTAGAGGCATAATTTGTATATAAATATGTAATATGTTCTACTGAATGTACACAAGAATAAAAATAACAGACTTGTCTGTTTTCTACAATCTGTTTTCTACACAGTCTGTTTTTCTACAGTCAAAAGTCAGAAAATGAGGAAAGTTCAGTCAAATCAGCAGAGAAATTCAGATAAAAGGTTGACTTGTGGTTTGATGAGGAAGTTTCTTTCGGCTCAGCAGAAAATGATGGGGAAACACACTTTCCAAGTTTTACTAAACATGGGAAGGATAATAAAAGAGGTTTGTCAGGTTCACAGAACATTGGGAATATCAGAGAAGGTGAGTTTGTAGGTTTGGGGATCAGAATTTCAAATAATCCGGCTGTTGGGCCTCAGGCCCAAGCAGATGAAGATGAGATATTTGGGTTGGAGGTTTCTAAAGTAATTCCTTCTGGGCCAACTTATACAATTAATAAGTTCGGTAAATTGGTTCAAAATAGAAGAATAGAAGAGGTAGGCAGCGTTAAAAAGTAGTTTGAGGGGCCCAGTAAAAATTCTGGTTCGTTTGGCAGTGAGGATACTGAGACTAAAAAAACTAAGCTTATGATGAGAGTTCCTAATTCATAAATATCAAAAAGCCTATCAAGAGGTCGATCGTTGGTTATGCATAGAAGATCTCTTTCTTCAAAAAGTGAACCTTTAGAGAGGAGGAGAATGCCTAGCTATAGAAGAGTTTATAGAAGTAGGGAGAGGAATTACTGGCATGGGAATGACCAGAATGGAACTATTGTTACAGAGGTTGTTCTAGATTCACAGAAGGTTAAAGATCAGTTCTGCTCATCTGTTCAACAGAATCCTATAACAACAGAGTCTAATTTACAAGGCAGTGAGGATCCAAATTTAGTCAAAGAAGCTACTGTAAGAAGTTTCGATGGACAGTCTGAAGAGTGTGTTTCAGAAAGACATTCTTATTCTAATTCTGGTATAACCAATAGAAGAGTCAAGAGATTATTGCTAAGGGAAGCTCTAGAACAAGTCAGTATTTCTACAGCATCTTCAGTATTCTCGGTCCTATTAGACGAAGCAGTAGCTACATGGCAAGTGAGTCAGATTTTAGGGGTTTCTTTCATGTAGGGGAAGGAAGCTTTTCTGGAAAAAAATATTAATCTAGACAAAGGCTTTAATATGGCTAATTGAGGAGCCATGTTGGGAAATTGAGGTTTTTCAATTATCATTCATGAAGGAAAAATTATCCATTATTTCATGGAATGTAAGGGGTTTGGGAAAAAGAAAAACAGAGAGCAGTTCAGAGATTAGTCTCTAATTATTATCCTTCCTTTCTTTGGCTTCAAGAAACTAAAGCTGAGAAGATACAAAGATCTTTTCTAAGGAGGAACGGGTTAAATGCTTTCCGAGGTGTTATAGAGTCTCCAGCTATTGGTTCATCAGGGGGCTATTATGTTGTTGGATGATAATGTATTTTTTTTTGAAAAGATTTGAAGGTCTCTTTAAAAACCTCCTTCTTGATTAATGGAGCTTGTAAAGAAGCTTCTTAATCATGGGAAGGAGGAAAAGAGTGCCTTATAATTTCATTGAAGAAAATAAGAATTACAACCTTGGAAAGAAAAATCCAAGTAGTACCCTTACAACAATTCTTGAGCCTTAAAACCGAACTATAGAAGTCAACAACATAATAATCAACCTATACCAGCCTTTGCTAGAGCATCGGCATCCATATTAGTTGTCCTTGCAATCCATCTAACAACCCCCCCGACGGTTTTAAGACACTCAACAATATCTCTAACAATGAAACCATAAACAGCTGGACATGAGACAACCTTATTGATCCAGTCTACTGCAACTCTGCTATCACTCTCTATGATCAACCTATCTTTAACCCTCCCTAGGACAGAGGTAAAAAAAGAGATACCCCTTTGGATAGCTTTAAGTTCCTTCAATGTTGGAGGTCCAAAACCATTCGGTTCCTGAAAAGAACCAAGGATTGCACCAGAATGATCCCTCATAAGACCACCCAGACCTGATTTTTCCCAATCACAACTAATTGCTGCATCCACATTCAACTTGATGAAACCCGTAGGGGGAGGTAACCAAGGGGTTATGGAAGACTTCAAGAAATTGTAGGACGAGTAAGAATCCCCTATAGAAGGATCAGAGATTAAGGAGTCCTTAGGAATAGAAACATCCTTTTTCTTTGCTAAATACCAAGAGGCCAGCCTAACTCTTGTTAAGAAGAATAATTCAGTCTGATCGAGCTTCCCCCCTTCAAAAACTATGTAATTCCTGAATTTCCAGATTGTCCAAATAACAGCCCCAGGAATGAAAGTCCAAATTACCGAATTAGATTTCAACTCATCCCAAGCAAGAAGAAAATTTTTTGCTTCTGCAGAAAACACAGAAATAAATCTCCAAAAATTTAGAAATTTATTCCACAAAGACCACGCAACCGAACAGGAGAAGAATAGATGCGAAGAAGATTCTTCAACCATTTTACAAAGAGGGCATAAGCCATCCTCAATACCTTGAACTCCTCTTTTAACCAATTCGGATTTAACTGCAATTTTTTAAAGCACAATTTGCTAAACTAATGTTTCAACTCTAGGGGGAACCAATCCTCTCCAAACAATCTTGTTCCATAAATGAGACTCTTCTGAAATTGAAACACAACTCTTAACACAAGAACCGACTGTATAAACCCCATCCCCACTGCCTTTCCAGATCAATCCATCGCTAGAATCAATAGATAGAGAGAAAGAAGAAATGATGCTTACCAAATTGCACCATTGTTCAAGCTCCCAATCGTTTAAATTTCTTCGAACTTTAACATCCCAAATCCAGCCCGAAGAAAGAAATTCCCCAAACTCACAAAGTTTACCGAATTTATTAGTTGACAGTGAAAACAGTCTAGGAAATAGAATCTGAAACGGAAAATCAGCAGCCCAACTATCTTGCCAAAATCGAACATGCTTACCATTTCCGACATAAAACTTGCACAAACTACGGAACTAACAACCAAATGAGTCTTGTTTGAAATGGTTATTAACCACTGATCTCCACAACCAGGAGGATTGAGAAGGAATCTTGCTGTCAAACAGTAGTCTAGAAGAGTCAATGTTGTATTTGCTACAAATAAAATTCCTCCAAACAGAATTTCTCTCATTTGCAAACCTCCAAGACCATTTCCCTAGCAATGCTCTGTTCATAAAAATCAGATTCCGAACTCCCAAGCCTCCCTCAGTCTTTGATTTGCAGACATCATCCCATTTAACCCAGTATATCTTCTTAATACCATTGCCCCTCCCCATAAGAAATTAGACATAATAGAATTGAGAGTCTTGAGGATAGAAGCTGGAATCTTAATATAGACAAAAAAATACGTAGGTAGTGAGGACAGAACGGATTTGATCAAAACCAGTCTCCCTGCTAAAGAAAGAGTAGCAGCCTTCCAACCTGCTAATTTAGAGTGAAAATTCTGTACCACTGGTTCCCAGATAACAGAGGAATTCCTAGTAGCACCTAGAGGGAGGCCTAGAAAATTAGATGGGAAGTTTCCCACCAAACAACCGATAGAATCTGCCCAAGTTTTAACCTCCTGTTGGGATATATTAATCCCGAAGAGTCTGCTTTTCTTCAGGTTTAGTTGCAGCCCTGACATAACCTCAAATACTCTAAGCACCCTCTTCAAATTCATAATTTGAGTCTTCGAAGCTCCACAGAAAATAATTAAGTCATCCGCAAACTGCAAGTGTGAAAGATTAAAAGACCCCTCCTCCTTGCCAACTGTCAAACCAGCAAATAAACCCTCTGAAACAGCTCTTCGAATTAAAAGATTCAATAATTCCCCCACTAGGTTAAAAAGTAAAGGCGAGAGTGAACATCCCTGTCTAAGACCCTTGGCCATTGGAAACTCCTCGGATGGAACCCCATTAACTAACACTGAGATTGAAGCTGTAGAAACACATCTCCTAATCCAACTTATCCATGTGAAACCGAAACCCATTTTTTCCATCACCTTGAACAAGATAGGCCAGTCAACCGTATCGTATGCCTTTTTGAAATCAACTTTAAACACACAACCCTTTAGCCCTTTCTTCCTCCAATAATCAATACCCTCGTTAGCAATGAGTGAGCAGTCCAAAATTTGTCTACCGGGAATAAAAGCGAATTGAGTCGGGCTTATAAGATCTCCTATACAACTTCTAAGCCTCCTTGAAAGACACTTGGATAATATCTTATACACTCCTCCTACTAGGCTTATAGGTCTATAATCATCAAGACTTCCAATGTTAGATTCCTTAGGAATAAGGGTAATAAAAATATGGTTAATGACATGTTCCCATTCTTTCCCCACAAAAAATCTGTGAAAAAACTGCATAATATTCCCCTTAAGAACAGACCAAAACCTTTTAAAAAACCCAAATTCAATCCATCGGGCCCCGGAGCTTTATTACTATCACAAGACTTTAGAGTTTTCCAAACCTCCTCCTCGGAAAACTCCTTCTCTAAAAGCATATTCTGTTCGAAAGAAATTCTGGGGAAAACCAAACCAATATCTTCAACTTCTAAAGTAGACCGATCATTATAAATTTTGAAAAAATGATCTTTGACCTTGGCCTTGATAACAGTTGGATCGTGAGTAGTATTCCCATCAACAATTAAAGCATTCAGAGCATTTCGTTTCCTCCTAACTGAAGCACAAGTATGAAAGAATCTTATGTTTCGGTCCCCATCATTAAGCCACTTCTTCCTAGAATTTTGAAGCCAAATCTGCTTCTCAATTCTGTGAAGTCTCCATAACTCTGCTCTACAAACACTAAGCTCTTTAGCAATCCCCTGAACAGAGCTGTTATTCAGCTGCTGGGCGTCTTCCTCAAGCTTCTGAATTTTCTTTTCCAAATCTGATATTGCTACTCCCGGAAATTGATTCTTCTTCCCTGACCATTTCTTGATGGCAGCTTTAGAGTTCTTCAAAATACTTAAGATCCCACCTTTTCTCCCAGTCTTCTTACAATCTGTGATAGAATGTTTGACCATATCCTCAAAGCCGTCTTCCTCCATCAGATAATTAAAGAGTCTAAACGGTCTTTTCCCCCAATCAATATCTTCATCTTTCAATAAAATAGCATTGTGATCTGAAATGGATTTAGGAATAAGAGACTGAGAAATCTCAGGAAAAGTAGCTAAAAATTGACCATCCACCAAAAATCTGTCCAATCTAACAAAAGTTGGATCATCTTGGTTATTACACCAAGTGAACCTTCCCCCATTCAAAGGCAGATTAATCAAACCTAAAGACTGAATAAAATGAGAGAAAATCCTCATAGAGAACCTATTCTGTGCTTTACCCACCTTCTCATCTTCACACAAATAAACATTAAAATCTCCTCCAACACAAACCGGCAGGTTCTGTCCAGAGATGAACACACTGAGTTCTTCAAAAAAACTCTCTTTTTCTTCCTCCACTGAAGGCCCATAAACATTAATGAGGACACTTCTGAATTGATGCAGCCTGAATTTCCCTACAACAGCAATGAATCTTCTGTTAATGCAGTGATTTTCCATCTCAAACACATTGTCATCCCAACAACATAATAAGCCCCCTGAAGAACCAATAGCTGGAGATTCAATAACACTCTGAAGATTATTCAGTCCATTCCTTCTCAGAAAAGACCTTTGAACCTTCTCTACTTTAGTTTCTTGTAACCAAAGAAAAGAAGGATATGAGCTAGAGACCAATCTCTGGACTGCTTTCTGTTTTTCTCTTTTCCCCAAGCCCCTAACATTCCATGAAATTATTGCTAATTTGTCTTTCATTAAAATTTCTTGAGAACCTGACTTCCCCACTATGGCAACTCAACTGGCCAAATTCAAGCCCTGTTCTAATTTAATTATTTTGTCCAGAAAAGCTTCCTTCCCCTTAGTAAAAGAGACCCCCAAAATCTGACTCACTTGCCATGTGGCTACTGCTTCATCTAAAAGCTCTGAAAATTCTGTAGAAGAGGCTGTAAAAATATTGACATGTTCTAGAGCTTCTCTTACCAATGATCTTCTTACCCTTCTTTTGCAAAATCCTGATTTGGAATTAATCAAATGACTGTCCGTAACACAACCCTCTGGCTCTCCATCGAGACTACTAATCCCAGCTTTCTCAACTAAATTTGTCTCCTCTCTGTCTGGAGAATTAAGCTCTGCTGCTGTAGAAATCTTTTGTATTGGCGTGCAGACCTGATCACAAACTTTGTTTTGAACTGGAACAACCTCTGTACCATTAATTTCCTTATGAATCTCCCCATGCCAATGTTTTCTCTCCCTCCTATAAACTTTGCTGTAACTGGCCATTCTCCTTCTCTGTAGAGGCTCACTTTTTGTGGATAGCGAGCTTCTATGCACCACCATCGCTTTATTTCTTAACTGGCTCTTCAAACAATTCGAGTTAGGAGCTATCAGCGAAAAATTAGGATCAGGAACCTCAATATCTACACTGGCAGACGAAGCTGAGATGCAACTGGTCCCTTTATTCTTGTTTTTAACACTGCTAGCCTCTATAATTCCCCTGTTTTTAACCAGTTTACCAAACTTGTTAATTGTATATCCTGGCCCAGAAGGAAAAAACTTTGAAGCCTCCGATCCAGTCAGCTCATTGTCAACAGATAGGGCCTCCGGCCCATTAGCCGAAATATTTGAATTTCTGATGCCCAAGCCTGCAAACTCACCTACTATGGTATTCCCACCATTCTGAACACCTGACAACCCTCTTTTAATGCCTTTCCCATGTTTAGAAAGTCTTGGAAAGTGCATTTCCCCATCAGACTGTGTTGTGCCGAAAGAGACACCATCATCATTCCACAAGTCAACCTTCTGTCTGAACATCTCTGCTGATTTGACTTAACTTTCCTCATATTCTGACTTCTCCCTGACTCTACCTTCCTCAGACCCCAACTCGCCATACTGTTTCCCATCTGCACCGATCACCGAAAAAAATTTGAAAAAAGGATTTGCATCTTCCCAGCCCTCTCCAACTTTGATCTTAATCCGATACGATCTGCCATAGGATCCAAAATTAGTGAATTCTGGAACATCGAAAGGACTTGCAACTCGCAAAAGAATCCTCACAGACGAGTGATCCTCCCTGTTCTTAGTGGACTCATGGATTTCTACCATACTTCCCCATCTTCCAGCAGCTCGTTCCAAGAAGGATTCATCCCAACATAACAGAGGAACCCCACTTAACTCAAGCTGACAATAAGTCATTGGAACACCTTCTTCATTCAGTAAAGGTGCTAATCTATCAAAACAAAAGTTTATTACATCTCTCTTCTTTGTCCATGCCTCCATCATTTCTTCAAGAGATTTGAAAATGATAACACAGGAATTACGGGCATAACCCCAACCAACAATCTGAACTTCGTAACCATTAGTAATGAAGAACTCCTGAACTGACTTAATATCTAAAGAGAGCTTAAAAATCCCTGTTAAAGATCTTTTGACCCAGTTCCGATTCTCAGAGGGAATATGCATTTCCATAACATTCTTCAATGCTTTCTCCCTATGATTCCCAACAGAATGTGTCTCCCTATACCCCAAAGTATTGTTCCTCATATCCTCAGTCAGTAAAGCCTCTTTGTACGATCTGTCATCCCTAACACTCCTACTGGAAAAATCAGCCTCTTTCAACTTTGAAGGACCTGCTGTAATCGAAACTGGACCCAACTGAACTGGACTATTCTTGGCCACATTCCTTGGACGAACTTCATTGTATTTTGCAACACCAACTGAAATCCTTCTCCCATCTATCAGTGAATCATTTAACATATCAATTGCTCTCCTCAAACCAGATTCCCTCTCAAACTGAACAAAAGCGAAAGTGGAAAATCTATATTTTGGGTTTTTAGTTTCTTTTGGGATGAAAACTCTCTCCACAGTTCCCTGAGACGAAAAAATATCTCTAAGCTCACGCCGAGAAACTCTCCTACTTAGATTATCGACAAAAGCCTTCCAGACCTCGCCTGAACCTATTTTCCCTTTCAACTTTTCTCTCTCTCTCTCTCTCTCTCCCATGTTTCTTTTTTTTTTTTGAATAACAGATTTGCACTTCAAGTAATATAAAAACACTTGCTATTTGGTTTCATTAAAATGAAAAAGTAAACAACATTTCAATTATTATTACCGAACATTTTCATTTTTGATCAAATTTTATTAATTGTCATCTAGCAGAAAAATATTCTTTTCACGTTAGAATGCCACATAAGATAGGATATGGATGATAATGTATTTGAGATGGAAGATAACTACATAAACAGAAGATTTATTGTTGTTGTGGGTAAATTCAGTTTTAATCAGTTCAGAAGTGTTCTCATTAATGTTTATGGGCCTTCTGTGGACGAGGATCATAACAGATTCTCAATGAGGATTTTCTCACAGTTTATTCAGTCTGCTGGTTTAATTAATCTGCCTTTGGAGGGGGGAAGGTTCACTTGGTGTAATAACCAAGATGATCCCACTTTTGTTAGATTAGATAGATTCTTGGTGGATGGTCAATTCTTGGCTACTTTTCCTGAGATTATTCAGTCACTTATACCTAAATCTATCTCAGACTGTAATGCTATTTCTTTACAAAATGGAGGTACTAATTGGGGAAAAAAGCCTTTTAGACTTTTCAATTATCTGATGGAGGAAGAAGGCTTAGAGGAGATGGTCAGTCGAACAATTACAGATTATAAAAAGCAAAGGAGAAAAGCTGGAATTCTAAGTATTTTGAAGAACTCTAAATTAGCTATCAAAAAATGGGCAGAGAAGAAAAACCAGTTTCCAGGAGCTGCAATATCAGATTTAGAAAAGAAAATTCAAAAGCTAGAGGATGCCCAGCGTTTGCATGGCAGTTAGATACAAGGGATAGTTGGTGAGTTAAGTGTTAGTAGATCAGAATTATGGAGACTTCATAGAATTGAGGAGCAGATTTGGCATCAAAATTCTATAAAGAAGTGGGTTAATGAAGGGGATCGAAATACAAGATACTTTCACACTTGTATCTCAGTTAGGAGAAAGCAAAATGCATTGAATGTTTTAAAAATTGATGGGAATATTTCTCAAGATCCAGTTGTTATTAGACCATGGTTAAAGAACACTTTTTTAAAATATTCAATGACAGGTCTACTTTAGATGTTGAAGATATTGGGCTGACTTTTTCTACAATTTCCCTGGAACAAAGTGTTCTTTTAGAGAAGGAATTTTCCGAGGGGGAAGTTTAGGAGACTTTAAAGTCTTGTGATAGCAACAAAGCTCTGGAGCCTGACGGATTGAACTTGGGATTTTTCAAAAGGTTCTAGTCTATTCTAAAGGGTAACATTCTGGATTTTTTTCACAAATTCTATTTGGGGAAAGATTGGGAACATGGTATTAACCATAAGTTTATCACCCTTATTCGTAAGGGTTCTAACAATAAGAGCCTTGATGATTTTATACCTATAAACCTAGTAGGAGGAGTTTACAAGATTTTATCCAAGTGCCTTTCAAGGAGGCTTAGAAGTTGTATATATAATCAGCCCAAATCAATTTGCTTTTATACCCGGTCGACAAATTTTGGATTGTTCTTTTATTGCTAACGAGGGAATCGATTATTGGAGGAAGAAAGGACTAAAGGGTTGTGTATTTAAGGTCGATTTCAAGAAGGCTTATGATATTGTTGACTGGCCGATGGTATTCAATGTGATGGAGAAGATGGGTTTCGGCTCTACTTGGATCAGTTGGATCAAGAGATGCGTTACTACGGCTTCGATTTCGGTGTTAGTCAATGGGGTTCCATCGAAGGAGTTTCCAATGGCCAAGGGCCTTCGACAGGGTTGTTCACTCTCACCCTTATTATTTAATCTAGTAGGGGAGTTGTTGAATTTATTAATTATAAGGGCTGTTTCTGAGGGATTATTTTCGGGTATGACTGTTGGAAAGGAGGAAGGGTCCTTTAATCTTACACACTTGCAATTTGCGGATGACTTAATCATTTTTTGTGGAGCTTCGCAGACTCAGATTATAAATGTGAAGATGGTGCTTAGAGTTTTTGAGGTTATGTCAGGGCTGCAACTAAACCTTAAGAAGAGCAGACTGTTCAAATTAATATTTCTCAAGAGGGGGTGCAAAGTTGGGCTGATTCCATTGGATGTGCAGTTGGAAGTTTCCCCTCTAACTATCTAGCCCTTCCCCTAGGTGCTAGGAAGAACTCATCAGTTATTTGGGAACCGGTCGTGCAAAATTTTCACACAAAACTAGCAGGTTGGAAGGCAACTACTCTTTCTTTAGCTGGCAGATTAGTATTAATCAAATCGGTTGTGTTCACTGCCTACATACTTCTTGTCAATGTTTAAAATTCTAGCTTCAATTCTTAAGTCTTTAAATTCAATTATGTCTAATTTTTTATGGGGAGGGAGAAATGGAATTAAGAAATACACTGGGTTAATTGGGGCTGAAGTGTGTAAATCGAAGAATGAGAGGTTTGGGAGTCCGAAATCTTAATTCTATAAACAGAGCACTGTTAGGGAAATGGTCTTGGAGGTTTGCAAATGAGAGAAGTTTTGTTTGGAGGAAATTTATTTGTAGTAAATATAACATTGATCCATCAAGGTTATTGTTTGATGGCAAGATTTCGCCTACTACTTCTTGGCAGTGGAGAGCAGTGGTTAATAACTACTTCAAGCAAGACTCCTTTGGTTCTAAGTTTCGTAGACTTTGTAGTTTTCATGTTGGGGATGGTAACAATATCAATTTTTGGCAAGATATTTGAGTTGCGGATTATCCGTTACAGTTCTTTTTCCAAGACTGTTTTAGATTGCTTCTATTAAGCTGGCAAGCTTTGTGAGTTTGGGGATTTTCATACATCGGGCTGGATTTGGGATGTGAAAACAAGAAGGAATTTAAATGATTGAGAGCTGGAACAATGATGTAATTTGATGAGCATGATTTCTTCTGTTTCTCTGTCTAAGGATTTCAATGATAGCTTGATTTGGAAAGGCAGTGGGGATGGGGTTTTTACAGTCAGTTCTTGTGTTAAGAGGTGTGTGACAGGTCCAGAAGAGGTTCGGTTCTGGAAGAAGATTGTTTGGAGTGGATTGGTACCCCCAAGAGTTGAAACATTAATGTGGCAAATTGTGCTTCAAAAACTTGATGTCAAAACAGAATTGGTTAAAAGAGGAGTTCAAGGCATTGAGGATGATTTATGTCCTCTTTGTAAAAAGGTTGAGGAGTCTTCCTTGCATTTATTCTTTACTTGTTCAGTGTGGTCCCTTTGGAACAAATTTTTGAAATTTTGGAGGTTCAGTTATGTTTCATGAAGATGCTAAAACTTTTCTCCTAGCTTGGGACGAGTTGAAATCAAATTCGGTTATATGGACATTCATTCCTGGGGCAGTTATTTGGACCATTTGGAAAATCAGAAATTATATTGTTTTTGAATGGGGAAGCTTGATCAGACAGAACTATTCTTCTTAGCAAAAGTTAGGCTTGCTACTTGGTTCCTAGCTAAGCACAAGGATATTTCTATTCCTAAGGATGCCTTAATTTCTGACCCTTCAATAGGGGATTCTTATTCATCCTACAATTTCTGAAGTCTTCTATTATCCCTTGGTTACCTCCTCCTATGGGCTTCATAAAACTGAATGTGGATGTTGCCACTAGTGGTGATTGGAAGAGAAGTGGTCTTGGAGGTATTTAAGGGATCATTCAGGTGCTATAGGATCTTTTCAGGACTCTGCGGGTTCGGAACCTCCAACATTTATGGAACTTAAACCTATTCAAAGGGGTTTTTCTTACTTGCATCTATCCAAGGGATGGTTAAAGATCGCTGATTGTTGAGTGATAGCAAGGTAGCAGTAGACTGGATTAACAATGTTGATTCTTGTCCAGTTGTGTATGCTTTTATTGTTAGAGATATAGTTTGAACTTAGAATTTTGGGGGGGGGTTGTTCGATGGGTTGCAAAGACAGCAAATATGGATGCTGATGCTTTAGCTAAGGCTGTATAGGCTGAATTTTATGTTAAAGCGTGGTTTGATTGGGTTTCTAGGTATTGTTCGGAAGGGGTTGTTGCTCTTTGTAAGGGACATTTTTCTTATCTTTGTTGGGGTGTAATTCTTATTTTCTTTAATGAAGTTTATAAGGCACTCTTTTCCTCCTTCCGCTGATTAAGAAGCTTCCATAAAAGCTCCATTAATCAAGAAAGAGGTTTTAATGAGGCCTTCAAATCTTATCAAAAAATAAAGCCTAGCACACCAGCCGTGCCCTATCAAATGTGCCTTGTCTGATGGTCTGAAGCACAGGTGTTTGCCTTGACAACACTGGATGTATACACACAGGGAAAAGGGCGATGAGTATACAGAGGAAAAGAGGATTTCTCCACTAAGAACAAAATAAGAAACATGTTCAATGCAGTTTGGACTCTAAATGGTCATGGAGCTCATTTATTAGCTCACTAAAGATATGGCTGTAAACAATAGAACCATGCAATATATTCAAATAGCATGCCCCACATTAACAAAAATAGGCTTAGCACATAATATTATCAAAATCATGTTGAGATAATTGCAATTAGTACAAAGTTTAGTCCGTATGAATAAAGAAACCATTAGAAGCATGTAGAAACATTACGTATCAAGAAAAGAAAGTCTAAAATCAAAAGGATAAGACGTACACAAGCAGATTTGAAGATTTAAACTTTCCGGAATGGAACCTGAGAATTGATTATTTGACAAATCCCTACAAAGATACAAGTCAAAGGCAATACATTAATGCCTGATATTCAAGGCGATACATTAAATTCAAGAAAAAAGTTGACTCATGGAGTTGATGATCAATCACCATCTTGCAGAAACATTGAAAAGCAAGTAGAACATGGAAAAGTAAAAGTCAAGTCAAAAATATCAATATCCAACTACTCCATTAAGACAAAGTCCATATGCACAATGAAAGCAAATACATAAATGTGATTGACAATATTTTTGCTAGTAAGAAAAATCAAAGTAACAGGAGAGAAAAATTGCTACAGAAAAAGCTGTTACAGACATACAGCACAAACTGTGATTAAACAATATTTTTGCTAGTTAAGGTAAAAGAACACCTTTGATGACGAACTTTTATGGGTGGAGGGGAATAGAAGAAGAAAATGCATTGGGTGAGTTGGAATAAGATTTGTAAACCGAAAAGTGCAGGTGGTCTAAGAGTTACTTGAAACTTACTATAGAGCTTGTTGGAAAGTGGGTTTGGAAGTTTGCAAACGAAAAAGATTCCTTGGAAGAATTTCTTATGCTCTAAACTAGTGTTAGTTGTCTTTTTATGAATGTCAAATCCTTCTCACAAGGACTCTGGATTTGGAGAGGTATTGTGAATAGCTACATGAAGGATGATTTCATTGGAGGATGCATTAGATCCATGCGAGTCTACAAGTTAGGAATGGAAAATCGATTTCCTTTTGGAATGATACATGGCTGGGGATTTTCCTTTGAAAGTTCTTTTTCCTAGGATTTTTGCTCTTTCATCAAACCAAGGGGTAAGGTCTGATTTTGGTAGCTTTGATTCGAATGGATGGGAGTGGAATATTAGGACTAGGAGGAATCTATGTGATTGGGAAGTGGTTCAGCTGGTGGATTATTGGGTAAGCTCAATGATATCAAATTAAATGAATCTTTGGAGGATTGTTTGCTTTGGGATGGCGTGGGTGAGGGTTGTATTCTGTAAATCTTGCACGACATCAATCCTCAGTTGATGAGGATCCTTTTATGTGGAGTAAATGTTTGGCAGGGACTGGTTCCTCCTAGAGAGGTTTACATTGGCAAGTATCACTCAATAATTAGCGGTTAGTGGAATTGAAGAAAAAGGGAGGACCTATAGGGGAGACATTCAATGCCCTTTTGCAATCAGCTGAAAATCAGTTCAGCACCTTTATTTCCTGCCAGTTTTTGTGGGTGTTATGGATAGAATCATATGCTACTGGGTATCAGGTTGGCCTTACCTGTTGATCCTTCTTCACTTCTAAATTCATGGTTTGTTTGAGGCCTTATTCAGATATGTGGAAGTTTATTCCGGGGCTTTTTTGGTCAATTTGGAAGAGAAATGAATTTTTTGAAAGAGGTAAGCTGGACACATCCTCACTGTTTTCACAGTTAGGTTAGGTTAGCGAATGGTTCCTAGCTAGTATCCTCTACTCTCTATTCAAGTGGATTCTTTAATTGGGGATCCTTCATTGTCTGTAATATTTCAGCTTCTATGATTTGAACAGGCCTGTGGTTAGATGGGCCTCCTCCAGTCGATGTTTTTAAGTTTAACGTGCATGGTGCTATGAGTAGTGTTCGGATGTTAGCTGGAATTGGGGGAATTACTAGATTGTAATCGGATTAAGCTTATGTCGTTTTCAGAAAAATAGTCCTTTCCTATCATTTTAGCAGAGTTGAAAGCTATCAAAAGAGGCTAGACATCTTTCTGTCATCAGAATGGATAATGAAGGGAATATCAGGAGTCGGTTCCACTTTTCTTTTAAATTTTGTTAAGGATATTGCGGCTACTGTTTATGAGAATGAGGTCATTGTGAGGTGGATTCCGAGAAGCTGTAATTGCGAGGAAGATTTGCTTGCAAAGGAGGGGATTGGGTAGTGGTTCATTTTGTTGTACTGAGTTCGGAGGTTTTATACCAAGGGTGTTATTAGAGTGTGTTTAAGTTTTTATTTATCTACAAGGATGGTTTAAGTCTTATGTAATCTATTTATAATCAATATATTCAGGTACTCTTTTCCTCCTTCCGTTAGTCGGTTCTAACCTCATGGTAAAGGACTACTAAGAAGGAGGTTTAATGAGACCTACTATTCCTATAAAAAAAAACAAATGCCAGAAAATAAATGGAAGACTGTTATAAGAGTCAGTAGTGCACTTCAATTTAATGGAAGAATTAGAACTTACAGTCGTGCAAGGGATTTTGTCCAAGCCCAATTGGTAGAGTGTTGTCCAAGGAATTCGTACTCAGGTTCCTGAACAATTTAAAATATATAACCTTCACTAACAGGAAAAGTAATCCCAAGGAAGCACCAATGAAAAACATCTAATTTGTGTTAAATGCTCAAATAGGACAGTTAGAAAGGTAATCATGCTCAGTAAATCATTTACTCCTCATATCTAATATCTTCAGTATGTATATATGTGCAGAGTTAAGGACGTAGAAGTAATACTTACAGGCTTATCAAATTTGAAAGAAGACTAATATGCTCACTTATATATCCCTTCAAACCTGACTTCCGAGTTCTCTGTAATATGCATGGGAAATACATATAATAAGCATTTAAAGTATAAATGTTGTCTTTGGTACAATTATATGCTTCATTCAAATTAAAATAAATAGACTTTTGGTGTCCCAAATGAGGTGCAGATTTAAAGTAAATTATAAAAAGATGTAAAAAAAAAATAATAAAGACACCTTTGTATATCTAATGTAGAAACGTTTGACTTTTCTTCTCTCTACAATGTTTTCATTTCTATGAAATATTACCTTCTTGATCCTCTTGTATCACCGTCTCTTATTCTGAGTATCGTCGCACAATAATCCTCTCACAAAGAAATTACAGCATCTCTAGCTCCTATTGTTATAACATTTTACTTTTATCTTTACTTTTCAAATTTTATTTGATTCAAGTATGAGAGTTTTGTTTGTTGAATAGAAGCAAAGAAGGTACTTACATTTGAGTTATGACAAGCCTGTTCCGTCCTTGTTAGTATGACATGTAACTCCTTCCCAAGCATCCCAATCAGTAGGAGCACATGGATCACCATTCCACCCCATTCGGTCTGGAACACGGAGAGAATCTTTCAATGCTTTCATTGCAACCACTACAAAATTGCCACATGAGTAAAACCGATTTCAGAAACATATATCCTAACAACTCTCTTTAGCACAAAAATTATTTAAATGTGAACATTCTACTTTTTCTTTTTCTAAACAACGAAAAACTATTCGTCCTTCTGAGATCTGTTCCTTCAAAGTCTCGAAGGAAATTAGAACCACAAGCTTTTTTCCTGATTTTGCTATCCAAACTCACACTTTCATCACAGCCATATAAGCTTTCAAACTCAGTTGATGAACGGATATGATGACATGACAATCCCTGGTGGGTGATTATAACACATCTTAGGAAATTTTCATCAACACAGCCTCAAAAAATAATGTTATCAATCTTATATATAAACTAACACAGGTGCAATGATTAACACTTACTTAAAACATCAAACTTTTCACTTTTCTTTTGAGAACTCCAATCCCCCTCAAACCCACACCCAGTTTAATATAATAACAGTTATTATAGTCGCATCACAAACAGAATGCTGACAAATTGTTTCTTCTAAAACTACCCCAAAACTCTAATTTTCCTGAAGAAAAAACTAATCGGTTCAATGACCAATCAAACTCTCATAAGCAACTTTCAACTCAACATGCATATGATTGAAAAGTTTATATAAATAATAAATTCAGAATTTTTTACCCTGCTCGGAACCGTGGCCAAATCAGCTGGAACCACGTAAATTTCAAGCCCGCAGATCAAAGGAGCCCCGGACACGGGCAACAGCTTCACATTCATCACAGAATTGCTCAATTCTTCTCCGTATAATTTAAAGTGTAGGCCGCAAAGCTCCCGACTTCCTTGAATATATCCACTCTACTCACGTTCTTGTCGTTGACCAGCACATCGAACACTCTCTCCCTGCCTTTTTAACTGACGAATCAATCTCCGCAAAATGAAACCACACAAAGTAATCAAGCTTCGCATCCAAAGCTAATTCGTATTCCAAACCGCCGTCAATGTCACCGCCGATTGGTACAATTTCATCGGGAAGTAATTCGGCGCTTGCTCGATACCAGTTTATTTTTTCTTTAGTGGTTATAATTCGAGATGATTTGATATCGGCTGCTCGGTAATCGGAATCGGATTGCCAGGAGCGGCCGAATGCGTCCGGTCGGACGTGAAACCGGGACCCCATTGTGATGAACCGGGAGAGTCTTCCGTAGTTGACAAGAATGTAATTGTCTCCGGTTCGAGCGGAATCGTATGACAAAGGATCGATCTGGAGGACTTTGAGAGAAGAGATGATGGGAGGGTCAGTGGCAATGCTGTAAAAACAGAAATCGAGTTGACCGTCCTTGACGAAGGCGAAGAGATCGGAGTAAGCGCCATCGCGAGCCAGACTCTCGGACCAAGGGGGGCGCCAGGAAAAGACGAGAGTGCCCTCGACGGAGGCATCAAAGGAAGGGGGATGTGATTTCCCGTCGTAGTTATCGTAAACGGTGAAAGTGCGGATGTAGTAACGGCCGGGAGGTAGAGGGACATTGTAGCAGTTTTTTTGCCAGAGGAGAGGGGAAGTAACGGAGGGTCTTCTCGTGCTGGAGATGGAAATGAAGGGCTCCGAGACCACAGCGTAGAGCCGCCGGAGAAGAAATCGTCGGCTAACCAGGAGATGTTGTAGGAGTCGGTGGAAGGACTGTGGCCGCCGCAGTCAATGTGGAAGCTAGTGTCTGCAAAAAAAAAAACACACACACACACACACACAAATAAATAAACAGCAAATAGTGAGTGAGAAAGAGAAAGGGAAAATGAGTGTAGCATACTGTAAGGGTGGAAAGAGAGGAGGAAGAGGAGGAGAACAGCGGCGAAGAGCAGGAAAAGGAGGAAAACGGGGGCATGGTGAATTGGTGATGATTAGTTTGATATTTGGACTTTCACACTATAAAGTAGGGGGCGGAGACGAGTAAATTATTACAAATGTTACAAAGTAGGATAAATTCTACTATTAATACCTAAACTATCAATTTTAATTTGTTTTAATATATAATTTTTTCTTTTCTTAAAATCATACTTAAATTTAGTTTTTACTTCATTTTAGTATTCATCATTAAAATTGTTAGTTTTTATTTCATTTTAATACACATTCAAAACTTACGTTAAGTTTTGAAAACATTAAAAGTTTATGTATTAAAATGGGTTAAAAATTATAATTTATGTACTAAATATGTTAAATTTTAACGATAAATATTAAAATAAAATAAAACTAAATGTTAAATATGATTTAAAAAATTAAAAATTTAAATACTAAAAAGAAAACTTATAATTTAAGTTAAAAACGTATAGGTTACCCTACAAAGTAAAAGAGTACAAGATTAGCGCGCGCCGGGGCGTGGGTGGTGGATATTATTAGGATCACGCGCTCGCCGGGGGCGTGGAGTGGGGTTGGGGGAGATTATCAGGATCACTCTATTCGTCTATACCATACAAATTAAATATCAACTCCTCAATAAACAAAATTTTTTATTCATTATTATTCATAAATATTCTTCATCTGCAAAATAAATAGCTGTTAGAATAAAATTAAAGAAAAGGTTGCTTCAAGTTATTTTCTGCAGCATAATAAATTATAAATATTTAAAATTATAAAATTTGTAAACTAAGCCTATAATTTGATTATTTTATAAACAATATATATAAGAAAACTAACCACTCGAGATCATAGAAGGACTATAGAAGAAAAAACTCAAAATATATAGAAAAAAACTTGACCAAAAGATAGATACAAATAACTATAACTGCATTGATAATGAATAACAGGAGATTAAACTACTGACAGAATATCGAAAATTGTAAGTTAGAATCGAGCGTCGTGAGAAACTATCTACGAACGTAAAGTGTGTATCCAAATTCAATATGAGATCCAAGCAGGAAAGATCGATAGAATAATAAATAAGTGTCACATTGACCAATCGTAGTAACGTCAAATCTAACTCTAAAAATTAAACGAAAAAAAGTCAAACGAACAATAAAGAAAATAAAAATATATCAAAACGCAAAGGAAAGTATTTCATAAAGATCGAGAAAAGAGTTTCATAAAAACAACTATTGAAAATTCAAATTTCAAAAAAGACAAACGATATAAAAATAGAGGAAAAATAAAAAGATATAAACGATCGACGATCAATATCAAAATTGGTATCCTCCTACGTACAAAAAAAAGGTAAGAGACGAGAATAAAATTTTAGAGTTAATAACTTAAAGTTTAAAGTTAGGGTTGTTATAAAATGTAAATTTTATTATAATTTTGATACCTTTAAAAATTATTTATTATTTTATATTTTTATGTCACGGAAGGTAAAGTTTTTTTTTTTTTGGGAACAAACGGAAGGTAAAGTTATATCTTGTCAATAATTTATCTCAAATATTTGTGGTACACATTCACCTTATATGATAACAACGTATAAAAGAAATGGATGATTTGATGAAAGATATCTTTCTTAAATTTTATCATTTTTTTGATTTTATTTTAGATAATCAATCTAAGGTGTTTGATCAAAGATATATTTAAAATTTTATCATTTTTCATTTTCTTTTAGGTAATCAATCTAAGATTTTATCTAGACCTCCTACATGGCTACAGATTATGTGTGTTTCCAACCAGTCTTCCTCTTCTTCTTCCACTTGTAAGTACCCCCTTATTCATAATGTTTCTTATGATCATTTGCCTGTTCATACACAACTTTTCTTGCTACCACTTCATCCATTATTGAACCACATCCTATTCTGAAGCTATTTCTAACCCGGTTTGGATTAAAGCCATGCAAGAAGAAATTCAAGCATTAGAATTCAATGGTACTGTCTATAGTGCCTTTGCCTCAAGGAGTGACTCCCATTGGTTGTAAATGGTTTTCCGTGTCAAATATAAAGCTGATGGCACAATTGAGCGTTTCAAAGCACGTCTTGTGGCTAAAGGTTACAATCAAAAGGAGGGTGTTGATTTTATTGAGACGTTTTCTCCTGTAGCAAAGTTAGTCACTGTTAGACTGTTATTGCTCTTGCTGCCATGAATGACTGGCCTCTTTTTCAAATGGACGTGCATAACGCTTTTCTGCAAGGTGATCTCTTTGAGGATATATACATGAAGTTACCTGAGGGTTTTAGCAGCCAGGGGGAGAATATGGTCTGTCGGCTGCAAAAATCTCTCTATGGTTTGAAGCAGCTTCACGACAGTGGAATTTGAAGCTCACTGAAGCATTGGTAATGGCAGGATATCAACAGAGTAAGTTTGATTACTCAATGTTTACAAAAAAGGAGGGTGACAGATTGGTGGTAATACTTATGTATGACTTTTGTTAACTGGTAATGATTTAGTCTTAATCAATGAGTTGAAAGACATGTTAATTGCAGTTTTAAGATGAAAGATTTGGGAGAATTGAAATACTTCTTAGGACTTGAGGTCTTAAGGTCAAAAGAAGGGATTGTGTTAAATCAGAGGAAATATGCTTTAGAATTGCTAAAGGAAACTGGTCTTGAAGGAGTCAAACCAGCCATGACCCCTTTAGAGCAAAATTTAAAGCTTACCTCAACAGAATATGATAACATTTGCAGCAAAAGGAAGATGAAGTTCTGGTTGAAGAGAAGTTCATTTTTCAAAGGTTAATTGGAAGGCTAATATACTTAACGCATACTCGGGCCAGATATTACATTTGCTGTTCATCATCTTAGTCAGTTTATGCAACACCGAAGAAAACACATTTAGAGGCAGCATTGAGAATTATCAATATTTGAAGAAGGAACCAGGACATGGGATATTGTTGAAGAAAACAAGCAATAATCAACTGTCAGCATACTGTGATTTAGTCACACTTACAGAGATTACTCCAGTTTTTTTCCAGCGCACCGCTATAGTGCTACGAAGTTCATGCAGCGACACAATGATAAATGGGAGGGACTAGAATTCGGGAGGTGTTCACTTCAAGGGACTTTAACATATTCTATCTGCGTCCATTGCACCAACTGATAAAGATACCTTGTATAGGGCTACCTTGATTATGGTATCTATTCAGTTAGATCTGGATATTGGTGGTTTCAAAGATCCACCCATTTGGCCACATATGCTTCTAAGGTATGAAAAATTATCGCGTAACTCCAAGTTCTCCCTAAGATCATGTTATTCGCTTGGAGAATGGCTCATGGAGATTTGCCTATTGTTATCTCATTTGCGCGGCCAGTATAGGAGATGGCTCTAGCCTAGTGCTCACTGAGAAGAAGACAGTTGTACATGCTTTGCGGGACTGCGACTATGCACAGGTAACTTTTGCACTTGTTAGCCTAACCGAAGCCTATCTTTCCAGTCAGCTACTCTCCCCTTTAAACTAGTTACAATCTGCGATTTTTACACTGGATCTGGAATGTCTTGTAGGTTTTCTGATGCTTCTTTGGAATATTTGGATTGGGCGCAACACTATGGTCCATGACGCCAATTATCAGACACCTTGGTTGTTAGCTACTAATGCCAGGATATTACAGCATGAGTACCTTTTGGCCAGGAATCAGAACAATGGATGAAGTCATCGAAACTGAAATTCAGCACAACGTATCCCAGTACTACTCTTGATCGATGGACGACCCAATCCTGGGACAATCAAAATCAACTTTGATGAAGCCTTTGATCCTCTTCATCGTTTGGCTGTGTTGGTGTCTTAGGATACCTTGGGAGTTGTCCTGGGATCATCGCCTTGCTATGTAGAAGTAGGTCTCGTTGAGACTCATACGCTGACTTTAGGTTTACGGCTAGATAAGGATAATCATTGGTGTTAGGTTACCTTTGAGTCGGACTATATGTTGGTTGTCAACAAGTTACAGCATACTGATGAGGATATCTCCACTCTTGGCTTTTATCTGCAGGAGGCTCGTGATATTTTATATAGTATATGGGATTTAATGTCAAGTTTGAATCTAAAACTTGTAATGTTGTTGCTCATAACTTAGCAACTTGGGCCCTTCGTTCTGGACATTATGTTCGGATTGTCCCGAGGTTATGCTTCTGATGTATCAAATGATCTTTTTCCAGGTTAATGAATTTTCTCTGGGTACTCTTTTCCCCTTAAGACTTAGAATGAGTTTTTAATGAGGTAAAAACAAAAGCCATTAGTTCATTAGAATTTTATATACAAACAACTAATTGACATAGTGAGATGAGACATTAGATCTCATAAATAAGGTTAAGTTCGGATCCCTTAAGCAGGTCAGGAGTTTAAATTTTATAGTTAGTGAATCAAGTTAATTTGTTAGAAGGGTCACCATCGTCTCTGCATTAACTGATCAGGATTAGTTGATTAATAGATCGGATACCGATAATTATAAAAAATTTAAAATTATATGAACTTGGCTATTACAAATTCATTATAAAATTGAAATAAATCATAACTTTTTTTGGTATAAAAGATAGCAAAAATATCTATTATGTATGTATACATAAGTTTATAAATTCATATTAAATCTGAAATAAATTATAACTTATTTATTACGTCAATGTAAATAAGTTTACAAGAGGATAAAAGTATAAATTCACTTTCAATCTAATTTTTGCATTCCAAAAGTTAAAAAAATTAACTTTTATAATTTGGATGAAAACCCACTTTCTTAACATGATTTTAGTACCAAAAATAAGTGTTTGACATTATTTTTGCTATCAGTAATATTTTAAGATTACAAAAATATTACTGAACATACCCTGAGTATTAAAAAGGATATTTATAACAATAACAACAAATTAGAAATAAAAAAAAATAAAAGATAATATAGAGAACGAATAGGGTTAATGAAATTGGATAATGTAAATATTATTGGTGAACCTTACCACCTAAATAATATACTAATAATCTGAATGGACTGA